TATATGGAAACTTTTTTGTTTCACCTCTATATTTCTTTACAAAAAAAGTCTATGATTTTCACTTAGACTTTTCTTTGAAATGTTAAATTTCACTAATTAAAGTATTTTAAGATTGACTTTTTTTATTATTCTCGGTAATCTTGGTAATTAAGATGTCAGTCAGTTCTTTTGTAAATTTTATTTATTTTCTCCTTTTGATGGTTTTGTAGAGCCAGAATTTCCACTTAAATTAAGTATAACTAATTGTTTTGACGTCAAACAAATTAATGGAAGAAATATTGGTGCTAATTCTGTTGTATCATTCTCTAAACTAAATTAAAATAATCAAATTTTATTTTAACATCATTCTGTATTTACATTTATTAAAGAAAAATATAATTATACTCTGTTATACTTTATTTACAGTTCTACTTCTATATATTATTGTTCGTAGAATAACATGCAGTTTAATATACTTTATGCTCTAAATTTGGTCTAGTTTGTGCGGCAGAACATCTCTATATATAAATTTTATACTAGCTATATTCCTGCGACTTCGCACACTAAAGTATAACTCTGTCACTCGTTTATAATGTAACTTCCCGTAGGTGAATGAATTTTTTAAATCAATCTAATAGTTTTGTAGACACTTCAATACAAACTAACAATAAAACCTTTCCTCTTCATAATATAGATGTGACATCACAAAACTTTAGTCTCTTCTCTCCCTCCCACTCCCTCCCACGTCACAAGATGTCACATTCTGTGTATCCTCCCTTCTCCTTAACTTATGACGTAATTTATGGATAGGCCCCTTTTCGCTAGAATGCATATATCTGGCGTGCCTGCATTAATTTTAATACATTATCAAGACAAACAAACTTAATCTGTTCAGTATAGCGGTGCTTAAGTATAAAGCTGGTTTTACACGTTGATTTTAATAATAACTGTGTAATATTTGACGACTTACATTACCGAGTGGCTTGCATGCCGGTTTCAAGGTGTCGTTGTCTCTGATGTGCCAGGTAAGAAAATCAACTAATCTATATCTTGGGTCTGAGTGATTTGGTAAGTAAGCGGTTCATTTTATCGGGTTTCTACATTACAAGTGCTATAAAAGCTATTTAATTTATGGTCTGAGAAATGTACGTGACATTGTCTAATATGTAATCATATTAAAATGTAAAGAATTTTTATTAAAACCTTTAAAAAAATAGAACCGACTTCAAACTTAAAACTGTTAATATACTTAAAACCTTCTTCTAAGTGAAACAAATACTTTTCTGAAAACCGCAACAAAATCGGTTCAGCGAGATAATTGCAAACAAACATACATACATGCAGGTCAAACTGAGAACCTCCTTTCTTTTGAAGCCGGTTAAAAATCTAAAAATTTTAGATGAAAACAAACTATATAATAAATATTTCTTAATTAAAAATTTTGGCTGTTAGGATAACTAAAATTTAATAAGAAATCTTAATAATAAACATGATCTGATTACTCCACAAATAAATTTTATAAAGTATTTGATCAATCAAGTCTAAATCATATTCAAATGCCCTCTGACAGCCATACAAATTTTATAATTTTTTAATTCTTCCAAAGACCTGTAATAGACGTAGAGGAAATTTTTTTGTGAGAAGTGGTGTTCCAGGTCAGCCCTTTAGACCACATAAAGAGTCCTCTACAACGACCCATACCCTTCAAAGGGATTGTAGCTGTTGATCGAGATATACTTAAAATTATATATGCCACAATGAGGTTGATCAGCGTAAATACGTCTGTCAAGTTAATAAACAACTGAGTTATAGTTGACAATCACATTTAAATACAATATAAACCAACTAAACAGCTGCATATTTAATTTAAATAAAATTTCCTTCATCCAACGAGTTCCATACGCTTATGTATGAACGCTGTTTCATGAGAATAACCCAAACAAAGTTTAAGCTAAATATAAAAATCATGCAAAACTTTTGTTTATATGTATAAATATACAATTTGCAAAACGCAAACATTCGGAGGTTTCCATTTGAATAAAACGTGACTGCGAAGTCAAAAAATAAAATGCTTACACAATTGGGTACGAGAGTAAAACAATTGGGTAAGCACCGGGGAGAATTTCTGGGGATTCCAGAAGTTTTTCTAAACAAAAGTTTGACTCGACAATATCGGAACGGCCAGTAATAATTTTGAATTCAGTCGCCGCCCTTTGACTTTACAATGTAACTTAATATTCAACAATGCTTTTCTTTATGAATACGAGACCATAAACAGTGACGTTCGAGTCTGAATATAATACCTATAGATACAGGCCTATAGTCAAAATTTAAGATATGGCATATTCGATCTCATTAGCTCAGAAATGAGGTCTTAAATTAAGTAAACTCATCTATTTCCCTTAGTACAGGTTATATGTATATTCTTTCCTTACTTATAACCATTATGTATAAACGTTATAACGTTAATTAAATAATAACGCCTAAGAAAATACACATACGAGGGTCAAACTGAAAGTTCTTAGAAAATCAAAAACTGATTACATTAGCCAGTTATTAGTTTTATTATATCTTTTCAAAATATTGTCCATTCACGTCAATACACCGCTGCATGCGATGGAACCACTGGGAAAAGCACTTTGCCCACTCGTCCTTAGGGGTCTCTTCAATGGCATCGCGATACGCAGCCACCGCTTCTTCAGCATTCATAAACCGCTTTCCTTTAAGTTTTTCTTTAATTTTTGGAAATAAATAAAAATCACAAGGCGCGAGGTCGGGGCTATACGGCGGGTGACCCAGTAATTCAACGTTTGATGTCGCCAAATAGTCGATCGTTCGCTTGGCGGTGTGCGACGAGGCGTTGTCGTGGTGAAGGAGGATCCTACTGCGAGGTCGTTTCTCTCGAACTTTTTCCAAGACAAGTGGCAAACAATTGGTAGTGTACCATTCTGCAGAAACTGTTTTTTGATCCTCTAACACAATTGTTGCAAAATGACCTATCCTTCCAAAGAACGAGGCCACCATTTTTTTTCCCGCACTTCGATCTCTCTTCACTTTAGTTGGCAACTCCTCGAAAGGAAACACCCACTGAGCAGATTGTCTTTTGGTTTTAGGATCATAACAGTAAATCCAGCTTTCGTCACCTGTTAGTATGTCGAACACAGCATTTGAGTCACCTCCGTTAAATCTTTCAATCATTTTACGACACCAATCCACACGATGGAGTTTTTGAGCCTCAGTCAAATTATGAGGTATCCACCGGGCGCAAAGCTTCCTGACCGCTAAATGTTCGTGGAGGATTTTGTGCACTTGACTCATACCGATGCCTAAGCTTGTCCGAATCTGTTGATAGGTCACTCTTTTGTCAGTCTCTATCATACGCCGCACAACACAGATGTTATCTTCAGTCGTCGCCGTAGAAGGCCGTCCCTCACGTAAATCATCAGTGAGATTAGTGCGACCACGTTTAAACTCATTAAACCAGTTGTAAACAGTCGCACGAGATGGGGCTTCATCGTGAAAGGCCAATCGTAGTCTATCATAACTTTCTTGTTGACTTAAATGACATCGAAAGTCATAAAAAATCATTGCACGAAAATTTTCTCGTGTTAAATTCATGATGACGTGACACAGACAATTTTCAATTTGCCGCCAAATCGTAAAAAAAATGACAAATGAATGAAATATATACTCAGTAATATTGGCAAAGAGTTATATTTTCAAATTTTAGAATTATTTTTTTATTATATTGTTTATAAGTGGCCAGTTCTAAGAACTTTCAGTTTGACCCTCGTATCAAACAAAACAGGAGTTTTCCTATAATTAGTTAAGTACACACTACCTTTAGTAAACAATCAAATTTTAAAAGAGCTATATATAATAAAGTTAAGACATTGAGTGCAAAATTAAAACTATAATATATACCTACTCATGGCCAGTTCTTAGAGAAGGCAAGCCTTACAATTGCCCAAAAATGAATCTTCAATGGCTTTAGTTTTCTAGGGAGAAAAATATGACCACGTTCAATAGACCCAAGAATGCATTTAATAAGGTTTTTCTTAAAAAAAAATCTATTAAGATATTTTTCATTTTTTAATGACAGTAAGCTCACGACTAAATAAAGTTATCGGTTTCAGTGTCAACGGCAGCGAATATAATTTTGGCTGAGCTACTAAATAACTAGATTATGCTGCCAAATATATGATTGCTATACTCTTCTTATAACATTATTACTAAAGGATCACTGCCTTAATTCATAGGCAGAATTAAATTTAATCGGATACACTGATACAGGAGAAATGCCTACGTTAATTTCAATTACTTAGTTACTAACAAAATTAATGCTCCCGACGGATTTCATTGAAAGCGCTCACTCGCTACATTTACTTTATAAATTTATCTTCCAACGACGAATTATGTAAAACGGATCTTCATATCCCAGCCATATTGCAGGGTTGGTGATTAGATTACAGATAAACTTGTTTGGGAGTCATTAATTGACTTTGTAATAGCTTCAACTGAATAATGTACTTTACAATTTAATAACAACATATTGTGTGTTAGTTAGCGAGAATTATGATGGTACGAAAAACTTTTTCATTGTTAAGTTGACTATTGCTGCCTATTTTAATATATTAAATTTGCCTTGGTGGAAATTGTTAAGAAAATATGAGAATGTCGCCTAAGGCTATCCGGCACTGGCACTGACTTGTTGATTATAGTGGTTTATTTTAAAAACTCAAAGATTATTTGCAAAATAATATAGTACAGTTTTTCAATAAAGCAAAAACAACTCTGTTGTAAAATATATTATGATTCCGCTTGCTTCTTCAATGGACCTGAAATTTACTTATCCAATAATTTTTAACATATTTACTTTAATATTATTGCAACTCATCATAAAATCTTTAGTTGTAATAATATTAAAATGATTTTTATCACATCGGTAAATAATTTATCTTAAAGATAAATATCGATATGGTATGATTAAATACAATAATTGTTCCAAATTTTGTCTGCAGATTTCAAGAGTGAGTCAGCAGAAAGCGCCAGCGTCTCAACGGATAGCTCTCAAGAAGATGAAGAGCCGAAGGAAGCTTGGATGCGGGCACCAGCAGGTGGAGTGGCAGTGAGAAGTGGGGAAGACGCTCTGTTGACTTGCGTAGTGCTCGGTGCTAGAGGACGACCTGTACTCTGGAGGAGAGCTAGGGATCTGATGCCGCTCACTGCTGGGAGTGTCACCATCACTAAAGATGACAGAGTCCGTGTACTGCATGACGACAGTGAGTATAGAAAAATACTAGCTATCTTTAAAAGGATTTAGAGGAATGATTTGATTGTAAATATGTCAGTTAGATTGAACTATCACTTCGCTGAGCTCTCTTTGTCTTAGTTTATGTACACTTGTACAGCTTTACCTATACAATTTAATGCTAACTAAATTCTATACTTACGATAAACACAGTAAGTAGATACGACCTCTTAAGTCGATCCCTCATACGATCCATCTTTTTGGTCCATCGTGTTCGGTGACCGGCATATTGATCTTTTTCCTTCGGTATTGCTAACAATTACCTGTTTTTCAAGGCTATTATCTATTTAATGAAGAAGAAACCTATATTTATTAGGTTTATTTACAAATAGCAATACATTCTTCCAAAATAACCAATATAATATGCACCAACTCATGTATTTTGTTGTACACTTAATAATTTAGGTACTCATATACCAAGTTTTTAAAATTCGTATTTTTAATAATACTTAATGAAATTAACACATCAAAGTGATGTCATTTCGCGCACTTATAACAGCTCAAAACGTTTACAACAGAAATCATATTTACTCTGCAACGTAACATAAATTCCTAACAGAGAAATCTCATTTACTCGACACGACACTATTGTTTCTCGATTTGTGCAACTCCAGACGTACTCTTATTAGAAATCCAAATATTCCCCGTTTTAATGAGAGCCAGCACAATAGGGGACCTAGTGAAGTACCTAGCGGTACTACAGAGGCAGGATCTACCCCCGCCGTATTGTAATTACAAAACCCTTTATGTAAGATAATTACTTACTCGTGGCAATAATTAAATTCCCCGTGGTGTGAGGTGTTATCACTGTTCCGGATATGATATTGTTTTTGTTCGCTCTAATAGCTTTCAGTTGTCTACGTTTCCGCGATTATATAGTAAGTGCACATTAAACCATTATTAATAATGTTCGCTAAAGGTCGCTCTGTATATAAATAAATAAATGACAATGTAAAAAATTACCTATATACATAGTAAACAACCTCTTATTGTTTTCGGTGTTGCACAGCTTTGTTATTTTGTAAACAAAACCTTTATTACCTTTTGAAATAGGTTTAATGTAATTGAAGGTCTTTTTAATGTTTCTTCTTTAATTTGATAGCAAATTGATATTTTTCAAGTTACCCATGTATCTAAATGTAATTAGTTGTATTATATCATCTATAGTATCAAAATTTATAATCACGTCTCTTTCTAGCGGATGAAACAATTCAAGGTCCTGGCATTATGAAGGGTGGTGACGTTTGGGCGTTGGTCATAAGATCGGTAAAACCTTCCGATGCAGGCCTATACATCTGCGAACTAAACACAGAACCTCCAGTCAGAAGTTTCCATAAGCTTACTGGTAAGCAAAGTTATTTTCTTTGGTTTTTATAGAAATATTTACGAAGACACTCCATTTCAATTATAATAGCGGCATAACAATAGACTGATAAGACGAGAAATTTCATGCGCTGGGGAAGGCTCCCTGTTTATTGAGGCCAAAGAGTATAAGAGTATTGCAACATAACAGCAACATTAAGTTAAATTACCATGGGCCTCGAGGGGAATAGTTACGCCATTTATTAGGTATGCAAATTGTGTTACTAGTATGATTTCATCAGGCAAATTCTTTATCTTCCACAGTCATATCCCGCGGTCTGACACCGCCCGAGAACCAAAACGTCACTGACAGCTACTCAGCAAACGCTGGCACACCCTCCTCAGTAGCTCTTGCTCACAACTACACCGACTGTTGTATGACAGCTAACGTCAGTAAAGCTTGTTTAGGCTTCTGCAGCATTCAAACTATTTTGGAAGGCACCGGCCAAGACCCAGAGACCTGCCAACCAGACTTCCCCGCTATTGTTAAGTAAGAATTCGAAAAATCCTGTTTTAAGCTAACTGAAAGTTTTTATTGCAACAAAGTAACTAAATAATGTATACCTATATATCTCATAATTGAGTACTCCAAAATCTTTGTTTTGATTTGTCATCTAACTGTAATATTTTTTATATAGTATGCTAATATATACTTGTCTATCAGGTGCATGGCAGACGGCCGCAACCACGTTCCATGTTGCATTCAAGAACATGTCCCAGATATTTGCCAAGATGTCTGCCGAGGAGAATTCACCCCAGTCACCGACAACATCAAGACGCACTACTCCTGTGCTGCATATATGGAGAAGACACTAGCTTGCATCGTAGAGGGCATTGGTAAGCATGATCATAGCAATAGTATTGCGCATAATTAAATATTATTGACAGATCACATAAGAGAAATCAATAAAATGATCTCTAGTATAAATTAACATCAGCTAAATATAGAACCAAAACATATATATTTTTTAATATTACATATATCACATACACTACTCAGAATCCAAGACGAGTACCTAAAGCCCCCGTATTATGGAGTATCTGAAACAACGAAAGTACCACAACAGCCTGACCCGAGATAATAGAAAAGTTCATTTTCTACATTGTCACGATCGGGAACCGAACCCAGGACCTCAAAGTAGCGACACCTTGAAACCGGCGTGTGAATAACTCGGCTACGGAGGTCTTTGATATATATTAAAAATTTTAATAGTCTACATAATAAAGGATAAGTTTATAACAAGTTATTTTGTTTCAGAACTTCTTCCAAGCCCTCCAGAGGATGTAGAAGTTGAATCACTAAATGAAAAACAACTAAATGTCACGTGGAGTCCTCCAATTGAAAACACAGATACAGTAACTGAATACATAGTAAATGTAACTACTTTGAGGTCATTCGACGCCCACCTGATCGACCCGTCTGAAAGTACAATGAAGAACACCACAATGAAAATGACGCAATCTATGACTTACAAAGTACCAGCTAATAAAACCTACTTAATACTTAACGATTTGCTACCCTTCACGATGTACGAAATCACTGTTACCTCCTATAATATTCATGGTTCGAGTTTACCCAGTTATGCGATCAGGTGAGTCGATTGGAAGTTAAATAATTAATCAATCATTCATAAGCAAAGTTAAATTGAATATTTAAATTAATTGAAATTCGTTTTTCTTCAAATTTGCTTTAAAGCTCAGAAATTTATTAAATTTGATTAAAAGGGTTCTTTTCGTTCTGATTATACTTAACAAAATATTAAAGAAACGGATTAATGCAACATTTGATAGACAAAAGCTTTTTGGCTATCTATCTTAGATCTCTCACTCTTACTCCTGGCAAAATGAAGACGACAGAAGTGGCTGCCGCACCAAAACTACCTGACGTAAGGAGCTGCTGCGTTAATGCCGGCGTTAACTATTACGGATGCGTCGATAAGCTTTGTGACCCCACAAGAACTTTTGAAATTGGGGTAAGTGGATGTGTATATGTTTCAGGACATCTCTTAAATGTGTTCATATCATAAACAATTAAATCGCACAAAAATAATACAAATAAATAAAAAATCATCATATGAATACATAAATGTAATCCTGGTTTTAATTTTTTCATATACATATTTATAAAATTTGAAAAATCATATAGGAGGTCATATATTTCCAGTTTCAGTGCTTACTATTTTGGGCGTAAAAAAAAAAACAAAAATGACGTAAAAAATTGATAAAATCATCAATCAAGATAATACTCATTAAATTGATGTAGCTTTTGATCGAGTAATTTATTTTAATGTCATAAAAAAAACATGGGATATGCACTTTAGTAACCCCAAATTCCATCTCACCAATCATTTGTGACTAACGCACGATCACCCAAAAAGCAATTTTTAACTCCCAGCTACAGGTGACAGATCTGATGATATGCGCGCCTTGGGCCGGTGTGACATTTGGTTGTCTTGCCAATGGAATGGACCATACGCCATGCTGTAGATCACGTGGTTTGCCTGATAGCTGCCTACCTCTATGCAGTGGGAATATCACTAATTTGGACTTCAATCATTTCAAGTGAGTTCAGGCACCGCTATATTGACGACAGGTTTAAACACACACACAGACGGACAAACCATGCTATTAGAATCGTTATAAAAAATAGTAATTGACAGCAATGCAAACGCTTACAAAACGAGAAAAACGTAATGACTAATAATTAAACCTCAACGTAATAACTCCAGTAATAACTATGCGATATTATTGATGATTAAGTCATTTAAAAAAATACAGTGAAGAGTGAGTGCATTAGACAACAGATAACACAAAACGACATTCAATTTCAAACCTTCATTTTTAAATAATTGAATTAAAATTTATTACAAAAATTCCACATCTTTTATTCCAGGAGGCCTACTCGCTTTCGCGAAAACGAAATTTCGTTTACGAACGAAATTAAAACGAAATTTCGCATGGAACGCTACTCTTTATCATTTTCGTATACACCAACGAATGTTCGTTTCCAAAGTCAATTTTCGTGATCGATTGGAGTGAATGGCGTTATTGGATTTCTTATAATGTCAAATTCCGGTTTTTACCGTAACTTGAAATATATAATATTAAACAATACATATATTTCTTTTAAATAAAATTTTAGTGGCTAAACATTGTTTAAACATAAAATATTATAATAATATAACGAAAAACTTAGTATATTAATGAATTTTATTTTTCGTTACAACTTATCAAGACACTATAAAGAACTCTTTTATCCACAGTATTAACCGACATATTTAAAAACAACCTTTCATTTATACGATGGCTATAATCAACGTATGGCAATCTTAAATATCCGTATAATACAAACGATTCTCATCCCGCCAAAAGTTTTACAAGTTTTCACCAAACTGTTCAGTGTTTACTAATATTTTATTTAATTATTGTGAGTTCCGAAATTTATCTTGACAATTCAGTAAAAAACTTTATAAGTAAGTATGAAAGTAATATTTAGTTTTTCGGCACAAAAAAGGTTTTTAGTAATAAATTTACTTTTTATCAGTCATATTTTTCAGGTATAATGGCATAGCCTATATGCCTCGTAAAATCTGTAATATTAATGACATAATTCTATAGGTAATTATTCACAATTCATACATAAAGCCAAAATAAACAATAAACTATTAGGTACTCACTGTCTCTTAATAAGATTCCTTTCATTTTGGTTTTGAGGGAATAATATATTTTCTTATAATACCTATCTGGTGAATTGAGGACAGTCCTAACCTCCTAACACCGTGAAACTGTTTGTTGGGCCATAGGCCCATCCATGTTTTGAGATACGAATCCTTGGTAACTACCTCGGGCATAAAAATTCAACGCTGTAAGAATCATAAAAATATGAAATGCATAATGGTAGGCATGCAATTTTTTTTATCAAGAACTACGATAAAATATCTTCCAAGTTTAATTGTGGACTCGATGGCATGAGATCTTGCCTGTGGACGCAGTAAAGGTATAATCTCTTGGCATAGTTCTTGAAATAATTCACAACTGAGTCTGTAAATACTTACAAACTCAGTATCGAGAATATTTCTTATATTAAGGCTATTTCGAAGCCGCTGCCGATTTCTTCTACGGTCTAATCGTTCTTTACTGAGAGCTGACTCGATTAATAGTAATATAGACCCCATTTCGAAAATAAAAAATTGCTAACGAAAATGAAAAGGTAACATTTTTCACTTCGTCAGTTTGAGGTAAGAATTCCGAACAATTAGATGTCAAACTCAAATGTTCGTTTTGTCATTTCGTGAAATAGAGTAGGTTTAGAAAATAAATATGTCAAACATTTTCGTTCGTTGAATATTCGGAACGAACGTAATTGTGATAGGAAACATCCGAAATTTCGAACGATATTTCGTTTTTCGGTGAATTAGAGTAGGCTTCCAGGCTTCTCTCAATTTTGCCTTAGAATCCAATTTAACCTTAAACTTTTATAGGTGCCTCCGTTACATGTCATCGTACACCAATTGCTTGCTGCAAGGCTATGGAGTGTTACCTGGCCCCCCGTCTAAGTTGCACCTCACCAACATTGACACAGACTATGCGGTGGTTCACTGGTCGCCTCCGGCAGCTCTCGCCGATACCGTCCAAAGTTACAATATGCATTATAAGAGACTATCAGTAGATGACGACTATAGAGTTGTTGAGAGGGTGAGTTTTTACCAGAAACGTAAATACGGCAATTAAATGACGAGTTTATCTTGCACACTGCAATGTATAGCTACTTCCACATCTAATTACTATGTACCTTTAAGCAGCAATAAATCTTACAATGGCTACAACTACTCCTTGACTTTTTATAGACAATTATAGATATCTATTAAAAACAGATGCTCTAGTTATACTCACAATGAAGTAATACGTCTAATTACAGTTGGCTGAAAGTAAGTAGTACTGTTTACAAAATGTTACACTAATTTATTTTATATGTTATATCAGGTACATTCCCCGTATATCTTGGAAGAATTAGAATCAAATACGGACTATGAAATCTTCGTGGAAGCTGTAAATGAACACGGTGTTGGAGAGGGTTCACCACGACTGATATTTAGAACACAGAGCCAGGTACATATAAAAAGTATATCTGAATTCAAATAACTAAACTATACTTTTCGGGAACAGTACAGTACGGAAACGTAAAATATAAATTCGAAGTTAATTTGCGTTTTATAAATAACCTATTTTAGAAAAAAAGAAGTATGCTTTAATTTTTTTAATTCAATTATTCTCTAGCTAATCGAAGAGGAAGAAGAAGAAGCCAATGCTTACAATGTAACAGCGTGCTGTGAGCGAGTGCAATTGGCCGGTGTGTGTATGCCGCTATGCACCTATGATGCAAAGATGTCAGACTTGAGGAATCTAGCACCGCTCTGTGCACAAGAATTCCATAAACTACTAAGATGTGGCGCCGGAGGTACGTAGACCATCTATGATGCTACAGTCTGAAGGTAGAGACCATAATTTTCTTATAAAAATTTACCAAAAGCTCAAACAATATTGATATAATATAGATCAAGTGATAACTACTAAATTATCTTGAAATAACTGATTATTTACATCCAAAACACTCTCACTTCAGGTTGAAAAATTTCTAAAGAATACTTGTTAGAGAGCTGAGATGCACTCTTACTCCAACAGGTCGCAACCACGCTACTTGCTGCGCGCGTCGCGGCGTCCCGGTGAATTGTCGCGGCGTGTGCGCAGGTGCGTACACGGGCGGCGTTAACACCTGCGTGCCTTACATCGGAAACATCGTGCAATGCTTCGAAGAAGGTAAACTGCACCTCCATTACCAATCAAGATTGATTCTTACCGATGGTTTGGAATACTAGAAGGTCGTGACCATTTCCTGGTCTCTTAAAATAATACTATAGCATTGTATTATTTTCCACTTCCACTCAATTTTAGCACTCAAGAGTAACTTTAAATTTCTTTAACGTTGTTCAGGCACCGGCTTGCTCCCTGGACCTCCAAGAGAACTACATGCCCAAGTAACGAGTAAAGGCTCCCTGCTGCTGGACTGGGCGGCACCACAGGATGTTGAAAATGGCACTTTCTATGTAGTACACTGGAGAAAAATGAACAACAACTCGCAATCTTTTACCTACAACACACTGCCATCGTTCACACAGGTTCTTTACTGAAAATAAATATATATGTTTCAATTTCCGCACAAGATCTTTCAAATATAAAAAATCATAACCTCATTGCTTGCAAGACAACGGAGTATGCCCAACCCATTTTGAACTTCTCATAACAAATGTTCAAAAAATAGTAATTCGGAAAAAAATATTATTGTCAATAATAAAAAATTAGACATTTCCCCTTTTTACTTTTATCGCTTTATATAAATGATTATAAAGTGTGATTGTCCAACGTAAAATTTATTTTATAAATTCAACTCTGCGGAGGATATTAAATCTGGCAACAAATCCTATTGTGATATCGTAAGAGTGACAATATCTATAATATTATTTGAAAATGTTGGTTTTACTACCACGATGGTGTTCTATATTATTGATTATCCACGCACATAAGCTTTAAGCTGCAAGTTTTACAGAGAAATAATGTCACGATTCCTTGTTAAGAACTCTCGACGTGTAAGCTTTGTTTGATAATTTTAAACATTTTGCACAGAAAACATCCATCTTCGATATTTTTTATTTTCTCGCATAAGTCGTGGGTATAATGGCATCAAAACTATTGAAACAATTGATTTCAGGACTTAACGAATTTCATTTCGTACAGGGTATGCAAGCTCAGACGAACGCCACAGCTATGGAGCTGCAGCCTCTAACAGCGAATAGTACGTACCAAATGTTCGTGGTGGCGATGAATCAGCACGGCGCTTCACTACCATCGAGCATGATAATCTTCAACTACACTGAAGGCGGTTAGTTATAAATTAAATTTTCCATTGACAGTTGGCACTGCAAGATCTAACTCCTGAACAAATCAAGACATTCGATGGATAGACTTTACATGCGTAGAGTAATATCATTGTTACGAGATTTGTTGTCGCTTGTATAGGTACATTTATTACATGTCTAATGTATAAAATGTGTAAATTGTTAAATATCCTAATTTATAGCCATTTATTTAAATTGAAATATAATATGATAATAATAATGATAACATCTATAATAATTACCGATGATAAGCTTTCTCAAAGGTTTGTCATAGTACCAAAACTTTTATCAGAAAGAAAGAAAGATCCCTTGGTCCAAACAATGGGAACATTTTAAGATAATAATTTTGACCAAAACACTAGAATACTCATATTCACCAATCGATATAGCGTTTCTTAAAAATACTGAGTGCAACATTCCCACATATTTCGTTGGTACCACAGAAGACAAAGAAGTGAACGGGGTACCGTCGCCTCCTCACTCGCTGTCAGTCGCGTCTCACTCCGCCACCTGGCTGACACTGAGCTGGCAGCCACCTCAGTTCTCCTTGCCAGACGAAAAGTTATCTTACACGTGAGTACAATCGAACTACTTTTGTGCAGAACTATTTTAAATTTATATGGATATGACTTCGGGATTTGAAACTTTATAATTATCTAAATGACACGCCACTGGTTATAGTGTGTCCAATCTGATTTCTGAAGATATGCAACTTTTCCAAAAACCGATCTACGAGTATAAAATCGGCACAAAAATGTATCTTTTCTCGAATTCCTTTATGCTTCGGAAGATACTTCAGTGGCCCCGAGTCGTTAATTTCACAATATGTGGAATATCAATTTTAAGAAAACGGCCAAGGTATTCAGGCAATTAATAAAATGTTTGTGCTTCCAATACTGTTATCTACCTATTATAACTTGGGCGATGTAACTAAGAAAAATATCTTGAAAATATACACATAATAATTATTTTAAAAATGTTTTTCGTGGTAAGACGCTCGCTTACATTAATGGATATCTTAACATCAGCGAAAGTGGATATTTTTGTTAATTTCAGTTTAAGTATTAAAGTAGCATTAAGATAAAAAAAAAATCCTTAATGTTGACTTTAATATAAAAAATGCTTTTGTATTACATTAGTATTGGTCATTATAAATACATACATGTACGCCTCGCACGAATCGATTTTATATATTTAATAAACCCAGTCCTTTGTATCAAATGAATGAATAAATTCTTTATTTTACATCATAATTATAGAACAATTGACACAGTTTAGTTGTACAATCGGCGGCCTTATCGCTATAAAGCAACTTTATGAATCAGATTAATAAAGCCCATGTACCATCGTGTAATTCCCGCTAGCGAAATACTAATGCTATACTAATGCCAGATTTGACTAAGCTTAAAAGCTATCGAAATCTGATGCTTAAACATTAAGGAGTTCCTAATGTAATAATTCAATGACTAGGAGCCATCTAACTACATTAAGCAATACCTAAAACAGCAAGCGTTATGCTACGCCTTGTGCTAGGTATTCGTTATGTGATAGTTACAAGACAGTTAGTGATGTTCCGGATATCCGTATCAGCGGATAACGGACGGAAAAGAAAGATGCGTATCCATGTCCGTTACTTTTCTCGCGGATCTTTTACGGATCTTTTAACTTATTAATTTTCAATTGATCGGATGAAATGGTGTACATGATTAGGTAGATTTAACAAACTATTAAATTCAATTTAAATATTATTTATTTCTTAAAATCAAATATTTGACACCTTTATATTGCAAACATTTATCGTAGTAAGTTACTATACCAACAGTTAATAACTCAAGAGTAATAATCAACTATCTTTATAATAATATCAATAATTATTAAAGAAAGTTATAAGTTATAAGATCACTTTTATAACTATGAGATCATGATAAAACCAAAAATAAATTGTAATTGAATGATTATTCTAATAAAGTAAATTAATACTGCTTACCTTTTAACTCTTGTACTAAAGGTATACACAAACGTTATCTACGCGGCTCAGTAACAAACAATAAATAAAACAAACAAAAGTAATACCCGCGCAATACAAGTCGATACATGTCCTGCCTGTCGCGGCGGACGTGACGTCAACTATCTTTTCAAGGTCTCAGCGCGCTTATACCGATTGGGTAAGGAAATAAAGATCCGTATCCGCGGATCTTGACACCAAATATCCGTATACGGACCCGTATCCGCGGATATACATTTTTAACGATCCGGCACATCACTAAAAACAAAATGTTTATTGTGTAGATTAGACATTTCCTAGTTAAGTATAAATACTTTGATGTAGGTTAGTTAGAAATTGGTGTAATATGAAAGGGGCGTGATAAAAGAAAAATAAATTATGACAAAGCCTTGTCCAACAGGTTATATTACAAATCGCCGTCACAAGGGGGACAAGGCAACGTGACTGCTATCAAAACAACTGTACCGGGTCACAGCCTAGAGAAACTCACGCCAAACACACAGTACGTCATCTGGGTGAAAGCGCACGCTGAAAAAGGGGACTCACTACCATCTGAAACTCTACTAGCCTGGACCGACCCCGCCTACCCAGCTTATGTTGAAGTAATTATATTTTTATTCGAGCGTAATGTAATTTGTTTATACATCTCACTCAAAAATGAGACTTTAATAGATAGTTATGTTCATTTTAATAATATTATATATGGCTTATAAGTATGTCTTATAAATATTCATAGTCTCGGGCATCTTTTTGTTGAGTAAGTATAAGTCTCTTATAGTTGATTTTACGTCAATCGGTACATTTGAAACTTCACAACATCCACATAACTAAGAGATAGAATAGCCAACCTTTTAGGAAAGAATTGTTTGACTTCTAAGCAAGACTTTATCAAAGCTTGATTAAAACGAAATAAATGAAATTATCTCTTGAACTAGTCGAGATGTTTTACAATAAGTTTTACAAAGTCAAATCACATCACTAACAACAATTAAGATTTACTTTAGTTACACGATTAACGCAAAATAAGTAGTTATTATTATTTATAATATATAACGTAATACATAACGAACCTACATTAAAATTAAATGTAAGTTAAACCCATATATTTCATTCTCTATGGAAAAATTATATTTCTATTGTACGAGTCATATAAATATTATAAAGGAAAGAAAACAAATTCTGATAATGAAAATTTCAGTGCAAAAATATTTCATCAGAGTAACTAACTAAAATATGAAGGGAAAATGTTCGCTCTCAAGACTGCTTTACATTTAAAAACACCTGTGAACTACTCTCTAATCTTAAACGTTCACTTTGATGGGTTCAATGTTACGGTTAAAATTACAGGCACTGATAAAAATATGCAAATAGCCATTTTGATCTCGCAGGCAGGTACAAGAAAGCGGCGAATGAAAGGAGGGCAAACCTTTTTTCTCATCGTAACTTACTTTTCAGGGGGTAAAGAATCGTTTTGCCCTTTTAAATGTTGCAAAGATTTTATAACTTTGCCAACCTCCAAAGATTGCCATTATACAAAGTATTGCTATGAATAAAATTAGGCGTCCTCTTTTCATTTTCGTTTTGTTTCTTTTTCACCAGTCGGAAAACATTTCGTTCGCTGGTTTGATTGTTAACATATTTATATTTAGCTACATAATACGTATAACAGATTTTCTTACTATCAATTTATTTATCGACCTATAAGTCTGGAGATAGGAGTAGCACGTCGGTGTATTGGATAAGCGCCGCCACCAGCGATCGTTGTTACTAAACAACTTTCGCAAAGGTCGGTTATAGGATAAGTAACTAAAAATTTGTTCGTCCGTCGTTCTCCTCCATGCTTCGTAAGGCACGTTAACACCCACCAATCCGCACTGGGCCCGCGTGATAACTCATGGCCCATTCCCCCTATTAGATTCGACTCGATTCCATCTGCAACAGTGGGGACATCAATAGACTGATGATGGTGTCATCATTATCATCATCATCAGCCCTTTTACGTCCCCACTGCAGGGGCTCAGGCCTTCCTTATGGATGGTTAAGGAGGATAGACCATGACCCTTCACGCTGGCCCAAAGTGGATTAGAGAATATTAACGACTGCAAATGCAGCCGGTACCAACGGCTTAACGTGCCTTCCGAATTACGGAGTAGCTCGAGATAATAATTTTTTGGTCACCCATCCCGTGACCGACCCTTGCGAAAGATGCTTCACGACAACGATCGCGGGCCGCAGCGCTTATCCACTACGCCACCGAGCTACTCAAGATGATGGTGTGCTTAACAGAATTTCTTGCGACCAATTTATTTATCGATCAATAAGACTGAACATGCAAGGCAATAGTTAGTCTAAATAGATAAAAACTACCAAAAAAAGTGAACTGACTAAATCTTTGTCTATAGTTTACATTTTAAATCAAATATAATACGAACACTTTTTGTTTGTAGCCTCCCACGATTAACCCCGTGAACCTCGTGGTCGAAGGGTCCAGTATGACCATTCTGTGCATAGCCATGGGCACTCCTACACCCACAATATCGCTCTACATCAGTGGTACGTAAACTTAAATTTAACTATCCCACCTTTTCTCTTCTTTATTTCCGATGTTAGTACTTAGGTGAAAGAAAATATACACATACATACATCTACAATGTAACATATGTTAGATTCAGTCCTATTCTATTATTTACTCTGGAATATTTTCTGAATAGGTAAATAATATACATGAAGAAGAAAAGAAGGTATTTATTGTAATATTTATCAGATTTATATCAAGCCTATGAACAAAATAAATCTAATCACTTTGGAATCCATTCAAAAACTCTATTATTGATAATATATAATATGCTATACCCAGTTTGCCACTCTTGGTTAGATTTTGACTAGAAATGTTACGTTTTGTCTGTAATGAGGTATTAAACCCTTAATTCAAAAGATCCAATGACCATTTAAATTCCATTCATTGACAGTTCTCACATAAAAAAGAATCTGGTGAAATTCTTCATGCGAGCAAGTTTGCAAGTGTATATCTATATCCACATTACCTAAAATTCGTCTGTCAGGTCGTCTAGTCCGGCAAGAGGTGACGCGTCACATGGTGACAGTGATTCATAATGTAACCCGGGACATGAATGAGGTCGCCTGCTACGCTGACAACGGATACGGCACACCAATGCAGGCAGCCAGGAAGATTAACATTTCACGTGAGTACTCCTAGCCTCATTCTTTATATCATCATTATATGCTGATAATAATTGGTGCCTTTTCTATGGACAAAATCACATTGAGACTGGGTCATAATATTACATGGAACCCGACTCCAGTACAGATTAGTATCTTTCCAAGTGACTGCAGATGCAAACGAGACTGATGTTTAAAAGCACGAAATATATAACTACAGTGAGATCTAAAAACGATATGTTAGAAAAGGCACCCTTTATGATAATGTATTATGTACGTGGTAATTCTCACATATAACCTGGTCCCAACACTGGTGAAAAATACATCCACAGCTATAATACCAAGTAATGGAGCAAATTTGTTTTTATATTATGACCCATCATTTTGTTTTTAATACTTTCATTTAATCCCACCAACTTATTATCGCCTTTAATGATTAAATATTAGATTAAATAAATATTTTAGATATTTCAAATCCATAATGTTCTCAACAGATGTACCCACAATTCAAGCGTCAGGAATTACCATGGCAGCGGCGGGCGACTCTGTAATCCTTGAATGTCGCGTGGAGGCCCTCCCTAAACCCACCATAGCATTCTGGAGAGACCCCAATGGAAGGACTCCGGTCATCGATGGACCCAACTACACCATCCAACTTATATCAGACCCTGATGTGAGTTTTAAATTATATCAGATACGTACTCTTTGATTTAAAGACAAATAGAAAAACTTATATTTGTAAAAACGTAAACTGAATCAAAGGATTAATTTATTTGCAAAATTTATTTTATTGCTTAGTTTGCAATGTGAAAGTCGTATAAAATTCTTTAATTTTAAATAAAAATAAGCTCTTTCTCTGTTTTTTTTTTATAATAAGCTGTAATAACATCTACAAGTCTCAGATTATTTTCAGACCTCCGGCTCGATACCTCGGCATTGCAAATATTCTTATTTATTTGCTAAGGGTTGCCGTATTGATAAGGCAGACAAATTTATAGTATTACTATCATAACTAACTTCAAACGAATATTACGTAGAAATTTATCTACCAAAACTGTTTAACGGTTTGTTAGTAAAGTTTTATAAATGAATAGTAAATATACCTACAAAAGATTATATAATATGTTTTGAAATTAACATTCATAGCGTTATTATGTAATAAGATTTATGAGAAATATCTTATCACCATTATTTTCATGACATTTTAAGTTAAATATCCGTCAAAAAATATTTTTTTTAAACTTTTTCGTATCTACGTAGATTGCAACCGATAGTCCAAAGAAGTTCAAATTCAGTTTTCTTATATTAATATTTAGTACAACAATGATGCCGGCGTTTTGCAAATAAATTTGTATTTATATGAATAAAACTTCACAAAACAAAAAAAACGCTTTAAAAACCTTCACAAAACCATTATGTATACGACTCACAAATATTGAATAGCAATGTAAAAATTCCGCGAAAACGTTTTTATTCAATTAATAAATTCCAATCCTTTGTCTCCGTTGACGACCCTATGTTTGGTACCCGACCCTTCTCCACGGGATCATCGTTAATACAATTGACCCAGATTTCACATTTTAATGTTAATTTGAATTTGTCCAATATACCTCGATGCAATTTTTTTTCATATCGAAAAAAGACTGACGAAAACATCGGGCATTATCTTAAGAATATTGTTCAAAGTGATATAAGTAACTTCTTACCTAACCTAACCTACTTCGAAGGCCTAGAAAATATTCAGAGAATGAATTACGTAGTATGAAGACTGAAGTCAGGCTGATCCTCTGTCGTCAATTAATTTTCATATAGTAAAATTCGGCTATTATTCTTACTTTATATCTAATTTTTAGAAATAAAAAATATCTGCATTCTATAATAATAAAATATATCAACTTGTGTAACATTAATCGACTTGTATATCATTGGTAAAAGTACATACAGGATATTAGCATTTTATGATCGTTCATACAATCATTAGTTACGCATCGGAGCGCAATCTCGTGTCTTCGTTATGCAGATTCGATTAATATCAAGGCTCATTGTCATTCATGGGCTGACGATATCCCCCTTGAACTCTAAACCGCTTGCCTTCGCGTTAATTCCTATCATCTTGAGGCAATTCATTGTGCAGGTCACCGTAAGTACTGTGGTAACTACTGTGATTAATACGAGTACATTTTTCTTAATATATGAGCATTTCAAACATACATTAATATTTTTTTGTTTGTTTGTTTGTAATGGATGACCTCAAAGTATCAGAGAAAAAAATATTTAAATAATAATTTCTATAGTTTCAAATAACTTCAAAGATATTGGTAAATCTTAACAATTGATACGAGTAATTTAGTTCCTGTTAAATTATAATTTATTTTGAAAATATATGAAATTTTCTTTTTTTTCTCGTTTCTTACGATTGCAGTGTCGACATATAAGACACTGTCTGATCATCTTTCTCATACTATACCAACAACTCGTACGCATTAACATGATAGCTGAAAGCCTTTTCTGTTTCACTGAAAACGTAAATTCGTCTATTTTCGAAATGTTAATGCGTCTATGAATTCTAATACATGATTTTTATAAACATTATTAAAACGATTCAAAATTTTACAAGATACGTACGAGCTAAATCATTAGAACGGGTCTTCACTTTTAAATGTTCATTTATTAGGAAAAGACCAAGTATACGATGCGGCTGATCATCAAGAAGATATCTGAAGCGAACGAGGGCGACTACTTCTGTCACGCAGAGAACGCCTTCGGCAAGACCTTGAGGCCGGTGTCGGTGCGCCTGCGACCGACCACGCCCCATCACAACGTCACAGCGTGCTGTGAACAGGTAACGCTACCATTTATAATTAATTATACTGCGAAAAATGTAATCAAGGTACAAATTCGTGTTTTTATCAGATGTCAAGATCTCTTAAACCTATTTTCATTGGTAAAGAAGAAAAAAATGTCGATACAACGTTGCTGAAAATTCTGTCATACAGTAGGACATTATACAGAGGTCGATGACCGGTTTTTGTAAATATACCTTACGATGACTACCCATATTTTTTTAAATACGATAATTTTAATAAACATGTGAATAAGAGGTAGTCGAGTGGCCGGTTTCAAGGTCCCGGATTGAATGAAATGATATTATCTTAGGGCTGGGTGTTGTGGTACCTTCGTTGTTGCAGATATCTAAAATGGAAGTGCTTTAACTAGTTAATATGGGATCACAATAATTGTTGTAATATTGTTTAATATTATTTTAATTAAGAAAAAAGTTAGTAATTTTAATAAAGTCTCTATTTTCCAAAGTCTTGCAATTTTTAAAATAAATACTTTGGATTTATATAATATATTTTTGCTCGGTATGCCTCATTGCAAAGGCCTGCTCAAATTTCATCCACTGAATTCAATCTGCAGCTACTTTTAGCCAAAAAGAAAAAATATATATATTGAAAACCATGTACCTGACCCAGCCACGCGTTACAGTGGCTCATAAGGATAGATAATTGAGTTAAAAACTATCCTTTCTTTAGAGTTATTACAGATACATCTGAAAGTTCATTTAAATTAGTTCAATAGTTTCGGATATTATCATAACATACATTGTGATACGAGATTTTTATATAAGATGAACGCAACCAGAAATTGGCTAATAAAATTATTTACGATTCAAGAAACCTAATGAATATTTAGTTGCTTTCCGAATTATTTGATAGAATTTATATTATCATAAGTTATTTATTTAATAATTCTTTTCTCTCGGCATACAACAACTCTAAGTTGTATCTCAATATTGATTTATTGTTTTCAAACATAATATTTTATTACGAAACAAATTAGCTTTAAATTATTGGACTGATTGATTGATTGATTGATTGAATATTCTTTATTGCACTATGAAATACAGTAAGAAAGGTACATAAAACTAGATTCAGTAACACAAAAGGCGGCCTTATTGCTAAGGTAGCAATCTCTACCAGGCGACCCTAGGCTAAAGGAAATGATACCAATAAAGAAAAATTAACTGCGGGTTAGTGCAATAGGGGAAACAACACACGAGAACGTATAAAGTGCAAATATATAAATAAAACTTACGATAGTAAAGTAATAGATTGGAAGTTCAAGAGGAATAGTCCAGATTGAGGAAATATTCTTTTATCAATTTATTGAATGAGTTCCGTGATTGCGCGCGTCTGATATCTATAGGCAGAGAGTTCCATAGTTTGATTGCTTTAACTGTAAATGACTTGGCTACGAAATCAGTATTGTGGGAAGGCATGACTAAAGATAAATTATAGGAAGACCGCAGATCTCGGGTAAGATTCGTAGAGTGAAAGACGAAGCGCTCTTTGAGGTAATGCGGTGTGTGTGGGTGAAAGAGGATGGAATATAGGAGTGATAGGATATGACAGTCTCTTCTACGAGAGATAGGTAGCCACTGAAGTTGGGTACGATAATCAGAAATATGATCATACTTACGTAGACCAAAGACAAAACGGATACACAAATTCTGCAGTCGCTCAAGTTTATTTAGGAAAACGACACTTAGGTCTGTATAACATGAATCAGCGTAGTCAAGCAAAGGGAGAAGAAGTGACTGAGCAAGAGTGATTTTAGTCTTAGTCGGCAAAAGATTCCTAAGTCGCTTAAGTGAGCTATATGCACCAAATACCCTCCTACTAACCTCTCGGACATGAAGGCTCCAAGACATATTGCAATCAAATATGACACCAAGATTTTTTACAGACTGAGTGAAAGGTATACGATTGCCGTTTATTAAGATAGGTGGCAGTGTATCATAATTTAACCTAGCCTGATACCAATGACTTCCAATGATGATCGCTTGAGATTTTAGAGGATTGACTAACAGACCATGACGCCGACTCCAATCAGATATATGTTCAAGATCATTGTTAATAATGGTAATTGCAGTGGGTATTTCTTCCAACGCACATTGGCTATAAATTTGGAAATCATCTGCATACATGTGATAGGAAGAAGATAGAGGGAGGGCTATTGAATTAATGAAAATAGAGAATAGAAGCGGAGACAAAACGCCACCCTGTGGAACTCCGGCTGTTGTAACGCACCAATCTGAGAGAATATCTCCTACACATATGCGTTGCCGTCGCCCATACAGGTAACTACGAAACCAACCAATCACCTGTGGAGATACATTGAGAGAAACCAGCGTTGCTAGCAAAATTTCGAAATCAACAGTGTTGAATGCATTAGTGAAATCTAACAACGTCAGTATGGTGAGCTGCCGATTTTCCATTCCTGTGCGAATATCATCAGCAATCTTGACAAGTGCAGTAGTCGTACTATGACCGGGACGGAAACCAGATTGAAATGGATTCAGAAGGTTGTTCAAGGAAAGGAATTTACTAAACTGTTGATAAACTAGCTTTTCAAGGACTTTGGAAAGGAAAGGCAATATGGATATAGGCCGGTAATCGGAAAAGCAATCAGGCTTAGGTTTCTTAGGCACAGGCACTATATTTGCATCCTTCCATGCAGAGGGGTAAAAAGACGTCAAGATAGATTTGTTGAGGATGTTGGTAATTACAGGAGTTAGGATATCTAGAAGAGGAATTATCATATTACGACTAATGCAATCGCAACATTGTATTTTAGGTTCTAATTTACTTATAAAATACATAATTGGTACCTATAGTATTTATGAACTGATGAACTGATCTAATTAAGTCCTTTATTTGGATATTCAACACGAAAGCATTAAAGAAAAAAAACCCGGGCAAGCGCTAGCTGAACTCGTCCACCGCGGGTTTCGTCCATTTTAGAAATATTTACAATGATATTTATTTTTTTATATAAACATTTATTTGAAAGTAGTTAATATTTACCGACTAGGTATTAAACAATATTCGCGCGAGTAGGTTCTATTTGCTTGTTTCACGGCGAGTAACGGCCGAGATTTTTCGACATCAACCCATCACTCATTTGTTTATTCAAATATTGTGCGCAATTCAGTTAGTTGTTACAAACAATTTACAGGTCAAACAGTATTTTTATTCAATACATACCTGTAGTTGTCGTACAAATATGAGAGTTAAATGTTAAATAGTTTTAAAAAATCATATCTCTAGAAGATTGATTCAGTTCGTTTTAATTCTAGTTTCAATACAATAAATATATATGTAGGTGCGTTTTTATAAGAATAATTTAAGGCAACACTCATGTGACCCCTGGTCGGTAAACTGGTCAGTTCGGGTTCCGATTACCATGTGATGGTACTATTATACGTTTTGCTGGAATTACATTTATTTTACTGTATTCACGTAAACTCGGTGGCGTAGTAGATAAGCGCCGCGGCCCGCAATCGTAGTCGTAAAGCAACTTTCGCAAGGGTCGGTCACGGGATGGGTGACCAAAAAATTATTATCTCGAGCTACTCCGTGCTTCGGAAGGCACGTTAAGCCGTTGGTCCCGGCTGCATGTGCAGTCGTTAATACCCTCCAATCCGCATTGGGCCAGCGTGGAGTGTCATGGCCCAACCTCCTTAACCATCCATAAGGAAGGCCTGAGCCCCTACAGTGGGGACGTAAAAGGGCTGGTGATGATGATAGTTATTTAGTACACCTCAGCCTATTCGGTATGTTACCCCACGTATAATTTTAATTATAACTGAATGTTTTCCCGATATTTCACCCGTAAAAATTACAATCTACGTCAGCCGCGTATGATGCAGCTTCCCATGGGTGAAAGAATTTTTAAAGTGAGTCCAATAGATTCGATGCAAACAAACAATCAAATGTTTGCTCTTTACCTATATAATATGAATATAGACATTTAGTATGCGACTGGTAGCATTAGCCCACACGCGCATTACCACAACAAGCGGGGTGACATTGTTCTGTCGCGGTAATGACAACGGAACTATGAAACGGAGTTTGAAATATTTAATCATACCCAACAACTCTAACAATTCCTATCACGGGATAACTCATCCCCTACTGAATACAAAGACATTACACGCCAATGCTCGAGTTAAATTGTATTTCCCTGTGCTATTTCGTCATGTATCGCTCTAATAGAGCTGCATTATTCCTACATTCATATAGCTACGTTATTGCTACATGTATAATCTAAGGCTACATTCATATAGCTGCGTAATTGCTACATATATAATATAAGGCTACGCTCATATAGCAGCGTTATTGCTACACTAAATTACTTATAACTGGGTAACCTCAATGTCACTAAAAGCTTCTATTACGCCCTTTGAAGTATATTTAAATCTAAAGTTTCCATAATAAAGGTTCAACCATGGGTAGGTTCAAAGGGGGTATTTGGCTAAGAAATCAACGTTTTCAGGCTTCAACTAAAATCTAATAATCAATTATATAAATATGTATATAGACATTTACTATGACAAATTTTGAAAAATCTGCTAAGATAATTATCCGAATTTTGAGTCGACAGTTGGTCGACTAGATCACAAGATATATAATCGAAAACAAAGGGTAGTACACACATGTCTAAAATTGTTATTTTTAATTAAAATCTTGATCGATGTAGGACCATTGTCGATTGTTATTTGGCTATTAAGCTATTTCGACTTTTATTTACTCACTTGTAATTTTATTATCATTATATGTGCAGATGAACGTATCATCAGCATGTATAGACGCATGCAACTTCAGACTGGACATGGAGAACATCATGGATCGTCCGGAGTGCATGAACGACTTTGACAAACTCATGAAATGCGCCGCCGACGGATCAGGTAAAGTAAAATTATCATAATATCCTAACATATTAGTTATATTATTAGTATTTGAAAAAATGTATCAAGATTGCTTACTTTTTTGTCCTTCCCTGTAATCAAACTCTTTAACTAAAACATTTGAAAGCTCATAACTACAGACGGTGTTACTTGCGCATTTACAACATTAGTGTATCTGAAAATAAATATTTTGTGGAGCTTTGGGATAATGATGTGTAATTCTTCTTACTCTCGATTTCATTTTCAAATATTATATACATCAAATCACTTACAACTAAATTCTAAGATATATTGACTCTGTCGGACTCGATCAGAAAGGAAAAAAACACGAATACGCGAATTCGAACACGAAAAAGTAATAATTCAAAATATTAGCGGCCAGCATTGACCATATAGGTTTTAAAAATGTAATACTTCTCCTTTCTTCACATCTTAGGTATGAGCCGATCCTTATATGATTCTATTGATAGTTTACCGTATTTCGTATGGAATCACCACTTTACCGTATTTTGGGGTGTTTATTTATTGAAATATGTGGTGATATTTATTTTTCGGTAAATTGACTATGTGACTCAATGTATGCGAAGGGTCGGTTAAATGAATAAACGTGTAACGGTGTGCCGTACCACCGTTTATTTAGTCCTAGATTCCAGCATGCATTCTTTTTAATTTTGTTCACAGGTATTTATGTGTTTATTTTCAGACTGTTGTCGACTTACAAATGCATTATTGTTTATATTAAAAAAATCACAGATTACGTCGCCACAGAGTGGACGACAAAGATTATTAATCATATATGTCACAAAACCAAGGCCTGTGTTGTGCATCAAGAGGGATTTTACTATTCTGATGGTCAAAATTCCACGATGCCTGCAAAAATTATAAAGCGGGGAATTTACTAGGCGGACTTTGCTACTATCGGTCTATATTTTCTAGTGAACGACCGTCACAGTGAATACACAGATCTATCTACTCTGATAAAATCCCGCTTTAGACGCTTCTGGGCTTCTGAGCGGAGAATGGACTAGCTCATACAAAGAAGTGTTTGAGGGAAAAAAAAATTGGAGCCCCCATTCCCGACCTAAGCTAAGATATAATATAAATGTTGTTGTAGACCACCGCGGGTGCTGCGCGTCGTGGGGCGTGCCGCGCGCGTGCCTGGAGCTGTGCCGCGGCGGGGCGGTGTCGCGCGCGTGCGGGCTGCAGCACGCGCGGCGCGCGCTGGCCTGCTTCCGGGACTCGGGCTCGCGCCTGCCGGGCCCGCCGCGCAACCTGCGCGCGCACCAGGCGCCCACCAAGCACGCAGTACTGCTCAGGTACTACCACTACAGATACAGCTTCGAGCACGACGCATGTCGCAGTATCAAAGCCTCAATCAAGCTGGTGACACTTCTGCAACATGGGCAGTTACGAGGGTCAAACTGAAAGTTCTTAGAACTGGCCACTTATAAACAATATAATAAAAAAATAATTCTAAAATTTGAAAATATAACTCTTTGTCAATATTACTGAGTATATATTTCATTCATTTGTCATTTGTTTTACGATTTGGCGGCAAATTGAAAATTGTCTGTGTCACGTCATCATGAATTTAACACGAGAAAATTTTCGTGCAATGATTTTTTATGACTTTCGATGTCATTTAAGTCAACAAGAAAGTTATGATAGACTACGATTGGCCTTTCACGATGAAGCCCCATCTCGTGCGACTGTTTACAACTGGTTTAATGAGTTTAAACGTGGTCGCACTAATCTCACTGATGATTTACGTGAGGGACGGCCTTCTACGGCGACGACTGAAGATAACATCTGTGTTGTGCGGCGTATGATAGAGACTGACAAAAGAGTGACCTATCAACAGATTCGGACAAGCTTAGGCATCGGTATGAGTCAAGTGCACAAAATCCTCCACGAACATTTAGCGGTCAGGAAGCTTTGCGCCCGGTGGATACCTCATAATTTGACTGAGGCTCAAAAACTCCATCGTGTGGATTGGTGTCGTAAAATGATTGAAAGATTTAACGGAGGTGACTCAAATGCTGTGTTCGACATACTAACAGGTGACGAAAGCTGGATTTACTGTTATGATCCTAAAACCAAAAGACAATCTGCTCAGTGGGTGTTTCCTTTCGAGGAGTTGCCAACTAAAGTGAAGAGAGATCGAAGTGCGGGAAAAAAAATGGTGGCCTCGTTCTTTGGAAGGATAGGTCATTTTGCAACAATTGTGTTAGAGGATCAAAAAACAGTTTCTGCAGAATAGTACACTACCAATTGTTTGCCACTTGTCTTGGAAAAAGTTCGAGAGAAACGACCTCGCAGTAGGATCCTCCTTCACCACGACAACGCCTCGTCGCACACCGCCAAGCGAACGATCGACTATTTGGCGACATCAAACGTTGAATTACTGGGTCACCCGCCGTATAGCCCCGACCTCGCGCCTTGTGATTTTTATTTATTTCCAAAAATTAAAGAAAAACTTAAAGGAAAGCGGTTTATGAATGCTGAAGAAGCGGTGGCTGCGTATCGCGATGCCATTGAAGAGACCCCTAAGGACGAGTGGGCAAAGTGCTTTTCCCAGTGGTTCCATCGCATGCAGCGGTGTATTGACGTGAATGGACAATATTTTGAAAAGATATAATAAAACTAATAACTGGCTAATGTAATCAGTTTTTGATTTTCTAAGAACTTTCAGTTTGACCCTCGTAATTACTATTACACAATTTTATAAAATAAAATATATATTTTGATAAATTTAGACTTTTTACCCATATTTGCAAAAATACTTTTGCACAAATGTGAGTAGCTATAATAGTTTGACATTGCCGATCATTTGTTATAGCTGGGAGCCACCTGTAAAGAACCCTCAGACTGTGTACTTGTACCGGGTGTTCTGGCGCGCGTACGGCGACAAGGTACCGGAGAAGTTGGACACCAGCGAGACCAGTGTGGTGCTAACAGGTCTACTAGATGACAAGAGATACGAATGTGTTGTTAAGTCTGCCAATGACTTAGGTGAGCATCTAGTTCACATACTTTTAAGCAATGATATTAATATGTCTAGATACGCAATACATACCCAAAATCTGAAGCTACTAAAACTAAGACGTTTGTCTTAGTTTTTTCGTTTTTCACTTCAATACTCATTCAACTCCCGCCGAGAAAGTACAAAAAAATGCTCCGCAAAAACGAAGAAAAACAGTGGATAATATACGATTCTTTCTCACAAGTACACATAATACGAAATAATATTAAGTTTCACACTTAAGTCATTAACATTTTTGCCAATAAAATCAAAATTAAAGCAAGTTTATAAAATAAATATATTTAATTTTTTAACAAATAATAATTTGACATTTTGTCGTCAGTGTTGCCACTGCTATTCACTTTCTATTTTCCCAACTATATGGGAGCCTTTTCTTTTATTTCACGTGGCTATAATTTATCTAAATATCTTCTTTTAATTGATTATATAGCTTAGCTTAGCTTTAGCATAGGCAACTGCGCAAACTGTGTTGCTAATTTTATCATACACGCACACAGATGCAAAAGTGGTTTAATTTTTTAAAGTTAATTTAATTTTTTCAAGGCGTGGAATTCGTTAGTTGTCGAGATACAACTTTTGAAAATACGTAAAATTGAACCTTTGATCTTTTGTTAACTTTAACAAATGTTTTTCTCTTAAACACTGACTTTATCGAAAAACCAAGGGATTTATATGCACAGAGCCTACTTTCGTGATTGTTTTCTTTTCAAAGGTTTTTCAAATAAATTTTTATACATATATCTACATTACTTGCTCATTCGTTCATTCATCGTCATGGGTGAATTTTCGAGAGCTGGCAATATAATATCAATTACAAATTTTTCCATTCATTCTGTCGTTCGCACATATTCTGTCTTTGTTTAATTTAAGCTTTAATCGTAGATATGAAAGAGACAAATATAATAAACCTATTTATATTATATAGTTTAAATATTATTTGCAAAGCTACGTCCTGATTTCGGAAAAGTGCTACGCTTTTGGGCGCGTCTTTTGTATGGAATTGCTTCTCTAGTATTAAACTCATTGCTTTTAAGCATTTGCCTAATAATTGTGGACTGAAATCTCATTTTTACTATGCAAATTAGATATTTTATAAAAAAAATTCATTCAACTTAATTTTTCAATTATTATCAAATAAAACTTGGCCATCTGAATACGGTAATGTCACGCAATTAATAAATTTTCATTTCATTTCATACCCCACCTTTCAAGAAATTGTCATAGGGGAGGGTAGTGGGTACAGTGTTTTTTCATCGCGTATTAACATAAAGATTAAAAGATCTGTCAGGGTCAAGTATAAATTAGTATCTGAATTCCATGATCCAGGTACCTCATCGTTGAGTGAGGCGATAACATTCACGACGATGGGTCAGGAGAGTGGCGCGGAGGCGGCGGCGGCGGCGGTGACCGGCGCGGGCACGGCCTCGGCGGTAGGGCTCGCTGTGGCCTGCATCCTTGTCGCCGCCATACTCCTGGCAGCAGGACTTTACTATAGACATAGAAAGGTATGCTGATTCAGCAATGTATTTGAACCTTCAAGATCATAAGTTTTACATCTTGATTGTCCAGATTGTCAATAAGACTTAATTTTCTTTTTTCTGAATCGTTTAGTTTAACAATAGTAATTTTATTGCTACAATCAATTAATGTGGGCTTATTGCAATGATTTGTGTTGGATGTTTTTAATGAAATCTTTCTTTTCAGAATCTTAGACTTAAAACGCAAGGCGGTGTAGCATTTGAAAACCCAAGCTACCTCAGAGAACCAAATCCTGACACTAATGTTAATGTAAGTGTGAATCAATTTATCTGTACCTCTGAAAATTATCCCATAATAGTTTTTTCTACATTCTAATTAATTTAGTCATTAAAAATACATACTACATACAGGAGACTAAAAATAAATAGCTCAGGAGAATATCTCTTGATATTAAAAATAACTGAAAAAGAATATCCATATCAAGATATAGTTACCATCTGTGCGGCAAAAAATATCGAATACCATGAACATCACTATTTATCGATTATATTACATAAATCACTATCTGTCCGTGAGCTGCCATTGTGTCTTTGACATTGACATAAGATAATATTCGCGCCAATAGATATCGCTCGGGGGAATTATTGAGACAGTGTCGGAACTAGTTTAAATTATAAAATAAACCTATTTAACCGGATAAAGTTGTGTTTTTATTACAATATACACTTAACTTATCAGGGTACAATGCCCAATGGCGGTACAAACGGCACCAATGTCCCGAATGGTGTTGGAAACGGTATTCCAAACGGTGTATCGAACAGTACAGCGTGGCGACAGGAGACCCTACAAAACCCCTCCACTACCATTCCGACAGCTAGGGAAGTAGACCCGACGCTTTATGAGGAGCTGAAACTCGGTCAAGATGGCGCCGGCTTCAAGAGACTAAAGCCATAGCCCGAGGTGAGCTTAAATGTTTTTGTATTCTGAACTCAATGACGCAGTTGTTACTGTTTTCATCGACAATTGCGGTGACTAAGGAATATTCACAAACTCTGGTCATCGAACCGATACAAAGAAAATATTATCTTGATCTTGCACTTGTTTAAGTACACGTTAAGTCAATATAGTTTAGTGCTCAATACTATTAATACATTTTAAATGCCCTATTCATTGGACTTCAGCATTCTTATTCAAGAAAGCCAAGAAAACATTCGGTGAATTTGGACCAATACCTAGTAAAAATAATGTTGAATATTTTAGTAAAACAATTTGTATTGTTACAGGTAGCGCGTCGGTCCCCGCTCCGCTCGCCGCGACTGTCGTCGCCGCGGGTGGCGCCGCGCTATTGAGCGGCTGCGGACCCGCGCGCGTCTTTTATATATAGATGTAGACTCCCCTCCAGAGTCTCAGTATTAATATCTTCTCTCGCCCCCCATACACGCAGTTCGTACGAAATATTGTTTAATGTAAATTCCAATTTTAAACGTAACGGATACGGAGATGCAACACATTGAAAACTCTTAAAGTTTTGAAGATGAATGCTACGCGGCCATAGCGGAGTACGTAGTGAAGTTTAAAGTATCATAAGAAAATATATTTTCAGTATCATACTAGATGTGATTTTAACCAAAAAAAAAGGACCTCAAATACTTTCTTATCATTTCGTGTAAATATTTCTCGAGACGATAAATAGACGTAGTTATTTCGAAGTTGAAATTAATGTAATAATTAGGATGTTCCCTAAAAAAATGTGCCTTCGATCAATTTATGAAGTAGGTAGTGATATACAATACATTAGTAATAGTGACCCCTTGCTTGTAAATATACTGACATTCCGTTACTACAGTTTTATGCAGTCGGCATTCTGACTTGCGACGTATTCCTTGTAAAGTTTAAATATATAATTATTTTTATTGATTTTGATATTTATAATTATTTTTTGTACCGACTGTACCTTAAGAAAACTTCGACATACCTGAAGCATATCAGTCAGTCTCTTTCACCTAACTTTATAATATGATCTCATTAAAGAATGGTGTAATTTCTATGTTTTGAGAGTTGACAAAACAAATACCTATGCTTATTGTGTATACTTAATTACCGCCAGGCAAAATTCCCTTAGTCTATTGAAGGATACACGCATTCATGTTGTGAAAATAATTTTGTGTGGTTATCTGAACGATATTTTCAATTAAGATTTTCTATATAACCACCAATAAATCACTTCTTTTTGTCAGACGGTAATTATTATGACATTAGATTAAGTTATTTGATAGCCATTTTGTGTACGCAAGTAATAAATTGAACACACAAAATGGCGCGCGTTAATAAAACGCAACCGGACACACTTTGCGCGCCAACGGAAATATATACCGACATTAAATGTTACCTTATTATTTATAGTAATAAACATTACCTACTATTTGTGCTAAAGCCTTTTACATGCCATCATATCCATCATGGTCTATAATTACAACAGCTCAGATAATAATGATGTGATGGTTAGATTTCTTGTCCTATACTAATGATGTAATAATAATTTTAGATAAAGACGGATGTGATTAGATTTGTAAATAATATTGATAAAAAATAATAAAAAAATATAAATATTTTAGTGTGTTTTAATTTTTAAAAAAACTTGAACAATTATATAGAACACTTTTTTAATAGTGCAAAAACTTTGCTAATGTATTAATTTCTATTATATTGTAGACTCGTTTTATTTTTTCTTTTAGTTTTTTTTTATGTCGGAGGTAAAGAAAAGAAAACATATCCATGGAACTTTTGGTACTTACGATAGCAGCTATGCTAGGTATTCTGTAAAACATCGTCTAACTCGACGTAACGTAACGACTTGAAATAAAACCTTTATTATGTTTTAAGAGTAGCTCGGTGGCATAGTGAATAAGCGCCGCGGCCCGCGATCGTTGTCGTTAAGCAACTTTCGCAAGGGTCGGTCACGGGATGGGTGATCAAAAAATTATTATCTCGAGCTACTCCGTGCTTCGGAAGGCACGTTAAGCCGTTGGTCCCGGCTGCATTTGCAGTCGTTAATACCCTCCAATCCGCATTGGGCCAGCGTGGAGGGTCATGGCCCATCCTCCTTAACCATTCATAAGGAAGGCCTGAGCCCCTGCAATGGGGACGTAAAAGGGCTGGTGATGTGATGTATGTTTTAAGGTAGATCTTTTTTTATTAAACCTCTACACTATGACAGCGCTGCGCTCATCGTCAAGTTTGAGGCTTTATATAACAGAATATAATGGATGTACCAGGAGTTTAATGTCAAGTTTATCGACATACAGTCTAAATATATTTTATTGCAAACAATTTTAATGACAATAAATTTCATATAAACCTGTGCATTGTTAAAGAAATCTCCTATATTTAATATTGGTAAAAATTACCCCACTCTGTACCTTTATAGTGACGGCATCATAACCCGTAAATCTTTGATAGATGATGTTGCATATTGTACAATTTCAACAAAACGCATATATTCAGCTCGGTGGCGTAATGGATAAGCGCCGCGGCCCGAGATCGTTGTTGTCAAACAACTTTCGCAAGGGTCGGTCACGGGATGGGTGACCAAAAAATTATTAAGCTACTCCGTGCTTTGGAACACACGTCAAGCCATTGGTCCCGGTTACATTTGCAATCGTTAATACCCTCCAATCCGCATTGGGCCAGCGTGGAGTGGCATGGCCCATCCTCCTTAATCATTCATTAGGAAGGCCTGAGCCCCTGCAGTGGGGAGGTAAAAGGGCAGATGACGAACAAAAATACATATTATAATACTCTAGGTATTCTGAAACCAGGGCAACTCCAATCCAGCAACTGTAGGCTAATGCGCACGAGAGGCTTAAGAAACAGGCCAGGGAGAGACCGAAATATTGTATTGGCACATTTCACTCTTGTCCCGTTTTTCGAGCGTTTCATGAGTCTCGCAAATTGGTCATGCTTCGCAGCAAATGAAAGGAATTCGCAGCAAACTGCTATGACATATCTTAGTTTATTTTCTTTTTTCATAGATCGAAAACGAACAATGAAAAGTGTGAGACGACTCGTACAAGAACTTGGACTCGTGTTGTTGATAATTGTCTATTCAACGAAATAGTTCCAGAACAAAAATATTCGGAACTTATTAACCCTTTAAATATTGAATACAAAGGAAGGATTAAATTTGTTTACCACAAGGAAATTGTTCAATTAACTTGCTAAAATAAATAATTGTTAAACTAACGACCAATTCGCGGACTTATTAAAGAAAGTCAAATCAAGAATACCCTATACCGGCATTCTTGATCATAAAAACAAGAAATATATGTCAGTATATTGCAAAATGGAAGGAGAAGAGACCACGTCTATCCCACCAGAAAAAGTTGTGATATTATAGATAGATAGGAAAAATACTAGATGAGTGCATGAAGGTAAAAATACATAACAAAGAAAAGAACTGCTCCCCACCCAATGGCAGGTTATTTTTATTCTATACAACCATTTAACCAGTTCACCCCCCCCCCTTTTATTCTGCTAGCACTTTCTTTCTTTCATTCATCCATCAAATTCTTGCTTTCACGGCTGGGTTTGGTAGTTTTTTCTAATTTATTTCATATTTTGCGAGAAATAAAATATATCTTAATACTTAATTGTACTCTTCTATAATAAAACCCTCTGTTCAAACTCCAAGTTATTCGTTATCAGGTCTCACCGGAACAAGAGGATATAAATTACAAATTGTTAAAAACTACATTCCCGGGCTGTCCTCTAATCAAAGTTGTGGAGCGGGCAAGCCGGTCGTATTATCTACTTCCCACATTCAGGAAATAAGAAAGAAACTTTAATATAATTCCACGTAGCCGTGTATTCAAAGTATTTTCTTTTACCAATATTTCAGTCCACTAGTTTGTTTATTTATTCAGCGATGTTATTCGCGTGAACTTACGTTTACAACAGGATTTTCTGAAAAACGTTTACCTAATATCCTATTATTATTATGAGGATCTTACATACTAAATAACAAGTAATAATAATAAAAGCTTAAATATTTATGAATTTTTAACCAACCATTTTTTTCAGAGATAGGGGCATCCAGATATTAATTTTAATGACACATTTTTAATTCTAAGGAGCTTTTAATTCCAGTATTAGTTAAATTTTATATTCACAATTATTATATTGATATCATCTTATAGAAAATGTCCTGATATACTGACAGACAACGCACAGCCTAAACCACTGGCCGCATGTAGAGTAGAGACTTGAAATTTTGAGGATACATTCGTCTTATTACGTAGAGGTGTACTAAGAACGGAGTTTTGGAAATTCAAAAGGACTCAAAGAGGGTGAAAACGTTTGTATAAAACTTCTTTGTTTTTGGACCTATATTAATGAAACTTTGTATTTGGGTAGTTTAAGCCCCTAGGAGACACAAGTTATATTTTATCCCGACAACTAGTAATTAAAGGTATTAAAATGGGAAATAAAGTTTTTATGGGGCATCAAAATGTTACTTTAAGGTTTCCAAAGATAAAGTACTGAAACCTTAGATCTGAAACATATTGGATATTAGTCGGTTAATTACACGTGTAACTGTTGCTGTACCTTAAATAAATAAAAGTAGCTTTTATATATTTTTATTTATTCTAATATCGCGGATATTTTGCTATTAATAATAGTGTTTTGTTCGGCCGCACTGTAGAAGGAAGCATTTAGCTGATCGACATTTAGCAGTACAAATGAATGGCGACATTCTATTATATTAGGGCTAGCCGCCTAACTGGACGGATTTTTACCCAGTTGGCTACGACATATTCATTCTACATGAATCTTAATGTTGTTTTCATTAATTCACACAAAATATTCTCAATTTAAAGAAAAAAGATGTAAGTTTAAAAGTCGTGCGAGCAATTTTTCTTAGTCTATTTACTTTGGTTACTGTCTTTAGTGGAAAGTAAACCACGCATATGAAGTCGCGTGCAAAAGCTAGTTATCTGATAATTATAATTGACAATATCGGTAAGGTCGCGTGATTATGTCAGGTTTAAAACTAGAAATAACTGTTATATATATCCTATCTGTTATATGAAAGCCCCAACGTTTTCCTTTTTCTTAGTAGTAGTGATTACACAATAAATATGATGATAACATGAATTAATTAATATGTAGGTATAAAAATACTCTTACATATATTAGGTATATATGTAATAATTATATACATATGTTTCGACTACCACTCAACTATAGTTTAACATTAAATCAAACCCAAACCCATGTCCAAACTAAAGTCATAATTTTTAAGTTTAGAGAACAATATAACAGAATTAGCACTAATGCCTAACTAGTAAGTTGGCCATTAGCTTCTTATTCAAACGTTTTTTTCCATAAAACTTATTAACAAGTTATGAACTTATACCCTACTTAGGCATTCTAATGAGTGCAATGGCCTCTAGTTGTCTCCCACATCTCATAGGAGTTATTTAGACCCCTGTGTCGCTTGAGACTCCCAGCGACATCTTCCCGAGGTATCACCCCACAGAAAATAAGTACACTCTTTAGTGGGGAGATGTCCGTAGGCCCATAAAAAACTTCCAGATAACCCTTTCTCACCAAGCTGCGGAATATGAAGCCGAAGGTTGTTAGGAAACAAGAATAAATAAACTAAAAGATGGTAAATTAAATAAAATAATTTATTTACAATAAATAGAAAATTAAATAAAAGGGACGAGGTGACTGGTGAGGTAAGTAGTGAAGTAGTGAGAGTGAGAGTGTCAGTGTAGGTGATCTGGTGAAGGGGCGTGGGTCAGCGGTGAAGTTTCGTTCCGTGAGCGTAGAAATAGCCGTCGTCAGCGTAGGTGTTATGGTGATGGGGCACAGGTTAGCGGTGAAGTTCCGTTCCGTCAGCGTAGAAATAGTCATCGTCAACGCAAGGCTTCTGGTGACGGGTCGTGGGTCAACGTCAAAGTTCCGGAGCGCCTTCTCGACGAGGTCCTCTATGTATATTTTTTTTTTATATTTAACAGCCTCTTCGGACTTCAAGTTCGCAATTCTTCCAATATGATATTGATTGCATATCATATCATTTCTATTACATTTTAAGCACATTCATTAATGGAAGTATACGAGTATATAAAAACCCAATTTATTGGTTAATTATCTAAGCCACACTGTTCAAATGTTCCAATTTCCACCTGGCTGACTCCTGAGTATTAGCTATTAGCTGTACCTA